AACGCCGCCTTACCTGTACAGGAAAATCACTTTTCGTACTAATGTTCATAATCTGAACATCAGATTCAAAGGTACTCTCACCCCGCCTAGTTTCAAAACAAAATTTTTCAAGCGATCCTTTAGTTACAATATATGCCAAGTGATTAACCTGTTACCAAAAGAAATAAAAAATTCAAAACTTTCCGTTTTACGAAAAAAACTCAAACTCTCTCTGTTCGGAAACCAACTTCAATTATAAATTACCATAGTCATTTTTACAATTATGTGGTCAACCAAAATAAGTTTCAGTAATGTACGTCTGTTCCATCATCACATCTATTACAAACCATTCCCACATCCAAATGTTTATTCTGTTCCAGCCTGTTTGGGCTAAGTTTAGGTAGAATTTTTTGAGGTTGAGTGGAAGAACAACTTAGTAGTACTCGTGCTAACTAAGTTGAACTTTGCCTTTTGATTATCAGCAATTAGCTCTTTAATCACACCAAAATATATGTATGTAACTACAGCTGAGAAAGAATAAAGACGATTATTATTATTATTATTATTATTATTATTATTATTATTATTATTATTATTATTATTATTATTATTATTATTATTATTATTATTATTATTATTATTATTATTATTATTATTATTATTATTATTATTATTATTATTATTATTATTATTATTCATTTAAGTTCATGTAATTCCAGTTACGACCCTGCGGCCTCCGACGTCACGCAGAGTCGTGCTGGATAAAATCCAGTGACTACTCCTCACAGCCTGTGAGGTGAGTAATCACTGGGACCAAGTACCGTGTGCCCTGAGTAGACGCAATGATCCAAGTATGACGGCCTTCTGCATACCACCAGCCAGGATGTGTGCCTTATCACGGCACGCTGGGATTTTCTGGATCTCCGAGAGTAGCGTGTGTCGTGTGCCTCCTAGGGAGCCGATAATCAGGATGACCAATTCCACAGAATGGTCTGGATAGAGCCGGCGGAGTTCGAATAGAAGATCTCGATATTTAGTCCGTTTCTCCTCCTCCTTCAAAACGATGTTCGGTTCGGCTGGCGCCGAAAACTCGATCACGAACATCGCTTTGGTTTGATGGTCGAGGAGGACTACATCAGGCTTGTTAGCTTGTATTTGCCTGAGGGTGGGGAATGAGAAGTTCCAATAAATTCGGCACCTCTCATTCTCCACAACGGACTCAATATCCCCCGGAGCATTATTATTATTATTATTATTATTATTATTATTATTATTATTATTATTATTATTATTATTATTATTATTATTATTATTATTATTATTATTATTATTATTATTATTATTATTATTATTATTATTATTATTATTTACAAATTTCGCCTTCATAGCTATTGAAATATGAAATCGAATTATCATAGGAACACTTCAAGAAATAACCCGCACAGAATCAAGTTTCAAGTTTTCAAGTTTATTCAAGTATTCCATGTACAAAAATATTACATTTTATTTTTTTTTACAAAAATGGGGTTAGAGTTGCTCTCTGAGTACAACATACCTAGGCATAATAGCCTGTGTGTGGGTTGTATCCAGGGCTTCTCTAAAAACTATTTGTAACTGTACATGAACTAATGCTAGAAATTTAGGCGGGCAAAGATTTAAAAGAAGAAAGAAAAAAACAGAAAAAAAAAAATAAGTATAGAGACTTCACACGCATGTGTATTCAATATGTGTACATTAATTTTAACCAAAATTTTGTTGATATTTGATTTGACGGTTGGTAGAGGGCAGGGATAGCAGCAATGGTGGGATGAGCTTGTTTTTTTTTTTTTTTTTTTTTTTTTTTTTTTTTTTTTTTTTTTTTTTTTTTTTTGTAGTAACTATCGTTGTATTTTATAGAATATTTCCTTGTTTCTCAGGATATAGTTCTTTATTTCAGTTTTGAACTTATTTAGTGTGTTAATTTTTTTTAAATGTACCGGTATTGAATTGTAAAATTTAGGACCGAAGAATAGAAATGTTCTCTGGGTTATAGTTTTTTTAAATGTATGTATTGCTAATTCTTCATTTCTAGTTTGTCTAGTTGGTTGAACAGATCTGCTTCGAAGTGAGTTTTTAGTTGTGTATACTCGAATTATACATTGATGAGCATACAATAGACTGATTGGAAGTATTTTTGTTTCTTCATACAGTAATGTTGTGGAATACTGTTTCCTTTTTCTGAATATGATTTTTATGATGGAATTTTGTGTGATATGTAGAGGACGTAAGTTGTTAACAAAGGCTCCTCCCCATATTATAATACTGTATCTTAAAATCGATTCTACTAGGCAAGTATAAAGCATTAGCAGGTTTTTGCGTGAGAGGATATCTCTTAGTGTGTAAAATCTGTGCAGTAATGCTCTTAGTCGTTTATTAACATTCGAGATGTGCTCGGTCCAGCGAATGTGCTGATCCAGGGTCACTCCTAGGTATTTTATAGATGATACTTGATCTATTACTGGGCAGGTACATGTATTAGTTCCAGTGCAACTAGATTTGTGTAAGTTTATAAGATAATCTGTGGGGGGTTGCGTATTAACTGTAGGTGTAAAAGGTATGAATTTAGTTTTGATGACATTGAGGGTGAGTAGGTTATTATCCAGCCAAATTTGTAATTTTCTTAGATCTGCTTCTGCAATTGACTTTAATTCTTCCCAGCTTGTACCTGTGAGTATCAAGACTGTGTCATCAGCATAGCATATTATGTTGGACGATAAGTCTCGTATTTGAACTATATTATTCATATAAACCAAAAAAAGAAGTGGCCCCAGGATAGTCCCTTGTGGTACACCCATTTTGACAGTCAATTCTGAGCTCACTTCTTTTCCAATCTTTACTTTTTGTGGTCTATATTTCAAATAGTTCAGCATCAGGTCCAATGCGATGCCTCGAATTCCGTAGTTTTCTAATTTTTTTAAAAGGATATTATGTGAGACCGTATCAAAGGCCTTTGCAAGGTCAAGGAAAATAGCCAGACATTTTGATGATTCATCTAAAGCTTGCACTGTTTTTTCGAGAAAATCAGCTATGGCGTTTTCGGTACTAGATTGCTTAATGAAACCGTACTGTCTGTCTGTTATGATTTTGTGTATGTTAAAAAAATCAAGCAGTCTGGTTTTTAAAGCATGTTCAAATATTTTGGCAAAGTTATTGATGACAGAAATGGGTCTATAGTTGTTCATGAGAGTGGAGTCTCCTGTTTTAAAGATAGGGGTTACGATAGATTCTTTCCATTGTCGTGGTATTATGGATGTTTCGAAGCAGAGATTAATTATATGTTGTAGGGGTGTTGAAATGTGGTTGTGTATATGTTTAATTGTTCTGGCTGTGATTCTATCGGTTCCAGGAGAGCTGTTATTTTTTAATTTTGATATTATGATAATTATTTCATTTTTTGTTACTGGTTTTAAGTATATTGATGAGTCATTCTTTTCAGATTTTAAAAAATTTGGTGGTAATTTCTTATGAGCTATTTTGTTTGACATTTTGTGTCCGAGTTCTGTGAAAAATGTATTAAATTTGTTTGCTTTAGTTACATTTTCTTTTATGGGCATATTTTGATCATCAATAATTATTGTATTTTCAATATGTTTATTTTTTTTATTTTTTCCAGATGCATCGTTTATTATATTCCAGAGTTTTTTGTAGTCCCCATTTGCCTCTTCAATTTTTTTCTGGTAGTATTCATTTTTTGTTTTTCTAATTAATTGATTAAGTCTATTTCTGTAGTTTTTATATTCGACCTCTAATTCTTGTGAGTATTTTTTAATTAACTGATGTTTAAGATGATCTCTTTGTTTGATTGATGTAATTATTCCATAGGTGATCCATGGTTTGATTTTTTTAATTTTATGTATTGGTACTTTTTTTATTTTAGTTGCATTTTTTATGTAAATATTGAGTTTGTCAAAGAAACAGTTGTACGCTTCTTGTGGATTGTTTTTATTTAAAATATTCTCCCAATTTTCGTTGCTCAATAAGTTATCCAATTTTTGTAGATTTAGGTGATGATTTTGTTGATGTTCATCTTCGTTTATAGTGTCAGTGCAAAGGGGTGCAGAAATGAAAATAAATGGGGTATAATGGTCAGTCATGTCTGTTTGGAATATAATTGGTTCGATTTCAGTAATTTTGTTTATTTCAGGAGTTGTTCTTATAAATATATGATCAATTATGGACGTGGTATCTTTTGTGACCCTCGTGGGTTTATTTATATAGGATATGAAGCCGTTTGCATTTAATTGATTTAAGTAGCTATTTGTATCACAACAGTCTTTTTTTCCTATATCAATGTTTATATCTCCTATGTATATTTCTAGTCCAACTTTTTCCAGATTATTTAGGTAGACTTCTAAATTTTCTATATACTCATTTTTATTTGTTGCTGGTGAACGGTATATTGCAGTTAGACCCACTTTTTTGTTTTCAGGAAAAATTTTCGAGAAAAACTCTATTCTAAGGAATTTATTATCCTTTATTTGTATTACCCGGTTGTTTACTGAAATACTGTTTTTAACGTATATTATTGTTCCATCGCATAAATTGTAAAATGACTCGTTATAGTAAATGTTGTAATTTGGAATTGTGAATTCATCTAGATTTTCAATTTTTCTCGTTTCAGATAGAACAATCACGTCTAGAAATGTTTTCGTCATTTCTATATAAGCCAATAATTCATTGAAATGTTTACGAAGACCTCTAATGTTGAAATGGGCTATCCCTATACCATTTTTGCTTTTCCCTGCACTTACCTGAATATAGTCTTGAAAATCATTCAAAATTTTGGTGTCGACTTCAACAGAATTATCTAGGACTTCTAAATATTCAATCATAAGCTTAAATATATCAGAGACTGGTTTTTGTGCATCCTGAAAAAATTAATAATAAAATAACCGAAAAAAAAGTTTGTATTTTGGCCGTAACACTTTGGAAAAGACAAATAGTACGATATGAAAGTGAAAAATATTTTGTGGAAGTTTATCTTATATGGAAACTTTGGAAAATTCTATTTTGTTTCTGATGCTGGTCACTTTATTGTTGTGATTAATGTAGATTTTCCCATTTTCAGTCCATACGTTCTTCAAACCAAATTTTTCAATGGAATCGTTTAGCAACTGGACTCTAGTTTTCGTCAGGTCCTCTCTTATCACGACTCCCGTTCCTTTCAGGAGTTTTTTCTTCGAGTAAACATTTTGTTTCAGATCAAGAGACCGTAGTTTTATGAAAATGCCTCTTGGTTTTTCATCGTTCTTTTTCCCAATTCGATAGCATAAATTGATGTCTTCATCTCTGAGGGTGATGGCCATTTTAGATTGAAACAGGTTTTTAATTTCATTTCTGGGCTCTTCTTGGCTTTCGTTCAAGTTAAAAACTCTCAAATTAGATAGCCTGGTGTTTTGATCCATGTAGTCTAGTTTCTCTTCATAAATATTCGTTTTCTTTACCACTTCTTTCATTTCTTGTTCAAGTTTTCCAACTTTATCTTGTAATTTCTTATTCTCAGCTTCGGTTTTATTTTTCAGCTCCGCCACTGCTTTCTCTAGATTTGAAAGACTATCGCTTATAGTTTTTGTGATGGCCTGTGTGACTTTGGATATGATTTCTTTCACGTTTATCTCTCTTTTTATGGATTCGCTTACCGCTTTACTCACTGCCAATTCTATTTCATCTCTCATTTCACGTGTTATGACCATGTTTGAATTTTTGGTTTTTACTGAATGGAAAGGTAGTTATATATTCAACCACTGTGTCACTTTTCACAATTTTTTTCGATGCGGTTTCGAGTATATATGTAAAATATTTAGGAGCACTTTAACAGCCGAACTATCTTTTGCTCGCCTTATGTTCTTGATATTTTTTTGTTGTCTTTGATAATTTAGATTTACAAGGTTCTAGGATGGATTCAAAGTCAGCATATATAATGAAAGGTGCTTTTTGTTTATACACATAATTTCTGAATTCCTCGAAGTCATATTTTGGAAACGAGATTTTGCAATCATTAACAGATTCGCAAAGATCAGAATGTTTTTTCAATTTTTCTTCATTATAAAAATAATTCAGACAGCGATCACAAAAGTACTTTTTGACTTTTCTTTTACTCAGTTGGCCAGCTAGGAGTCTAGATAGATTCTTAATCCAACAAAAGTGAAACTTTATTTCTGTGTCATCATGATCATCATCAGGAATTGGTGCTTCGTAATCGTTCAATTTTGGATAATATTTATTTTGAATCAATAGCAAATTGACATGACGCACTAGTTTGGTCTTTGGTAATCTGACAGGTACTAAAATTGTTCTAAAATTGTTCTATCCGTCATTCGGTTGCCCCCTTACGAGCAACCCTCAGAAGTCTTCGAGAGTCTTGTGCGACCAAGGAATGACGGGGGCCTTACCTTTTAACGTGTGATAAACGTTGACTGATATATTATTAAATTTTTCAGATTTACCAATTTGACCTAATTCCATGGGTATTTTTAATCCTTCAGTATTCAGAGCAAGATCGTATGATGGATATGATGACGTGAAACGATAATTTTTAGTTGGTTTATAGAAAGCGCTGACAATGCTCCAATAAAAACAGGCTTCATCATTGTTTTGTATATTGACGCATGCTCTTTTCCTCATGATTTGTGATGGCAACTTGATGAATGATGATCCATTCCCAATCTCATATTTGTTTATGGCTACTTCTAGAAACAAAATGTTTCGCAATGTCCAACCACTCCCCTACGTTCCAAACTCAGTCAACTTATTCAACCGAAAATTTATATTTTTTCAAAGCTAGATTACATTTCCTAATATGCTGATTAATGAATTTTATTGATATTTTTTCAGCCGAATTTGTTTGAATTGATTCAATAGACTGGTTAATTGCGAATAGGACACTTTGCGATTTATCCATATTGAATGTATCACTATTATTCATATAATGTAACTCACCACAATTATGTACTTAGATTTCTATTATTTTGAAAGATGCAGCAGGATTGGGTTTTCCAACTTCCACGAGGCCCTTGAATACTACTGCGTATTTTCCTTTTTCAAAGAAGTCGATGAATCCCGTGTATTTCTTGGTTACCCTCTGCGGAAGGAAGGTCACATGTGTCTCTAATTCCAGTAGTACTGTTTCACCAAATCTACTCTGTACGATCTTCGCTGCTTCAATTCTTTGTGGTTCTCCAAGCAACAGGTCATGCAACTTGACAACTGGCTTATTTCCCTTTTCTAAAACTGATATAGTATTCAATGATTTGAGATCCATTCTAAAACAAGAAAAATGAAATGAAATCATTGGAATAGGTAGGAATCAAAAAAACAGAGGTTGTGATATACCATCCAAGAAATAATGAGACTTAAGATGTGAAGTGAAAAGATAGTAATAGTACGTGAGTCATAATAATGAAATTAACTAAACAATCAAAAATTGTAGACTTACTCTTTCAGAAGTTGGGAGGTATTTTTCAAGAGTTCACAAAGAGGTACTTTCTTCGTTATTGACGATATAGAGTTTTCTTCGTTCTCGATGATATAGAGCTGAGAAATCTTAATTATGAAAGGAATGGTTCGCGTTTATATACTATTCTCAGTACACCTTCGAATTGAGATTTTTCTGTCAATGATGTACTCACAATCTCCTTTCGTTTCTAGATTTTTCTTTTCATTTATTAGGTCAACACTTTCAATTAGTGGTTTCCAATCCATTACTTCGCTGAATTGATTACACTATATCTATCACTTGTTTTTCATAGACCAGGACACTGAGGAGTCCATTTTATCAGTAGATCGCTTTCTTTCAATTTTAACATAGTAACAAAATTCGATAATGAAATTTGGCAACAAATCGTGACAAAATTACTATCCAGCCAACTGGTCACAAGTATGGTTAGGATAAAGAAAAAATCGCATTGACATTACCTAGAAACCCCCCATTGACCGCTTCTTTGGCCGGACTAACAAGCGAAAGATGCAACGCCCGATATAGCCACCGGCGACTGTTAATTAACCGGTGCTGGCCGCATTCATCCCGAGCACGCTGCGAGAGTTCGATAATCGACGAAAGTGAATGTATACAAATGGAGATATTATTATGCAGTTCGAAACTCGTATTTTCAAGACGATTAATGATGTAGGAATAATGTGAACAGACAAAAGTTGGTTGCATCTAATTCTGTTATCTTTTTTACTATTTCAATTAGTTTTGTCATTTGTTATTAATACTAATTTAGTTAACATGTATTTTCTCTATTTGGTGAAGGTCATATTAGGTTGATATGGCTACAATAATAATTTTTCCTCCAGTGCTTTAAAATAGTTTGACTTTTATTTTGCATACCTTCAAAAATGGCTGATGAGCAAACCTGGAGTGTGGTGCAGTTTATTGAGGACCAAACAGTTGAGGCTGTTCCTACAGCATGGATACAGGGTGACCGGTGCCACTGGCCTGCATTAGCACCAGAGAAAATGGTTAATGCCATCAGAAAATCTGAACCACTGAATACCTGCTGGGCATCTCATCCAATCAAGTTGTTTAGGAATGCAACTTTCAGGGAGTTAGTCAGATTAAAAATAAAGTTATGATTACACTTAATAGTTCTTGAATCTTATTGATTTTTATATTTAATTTTAGATGATTACATGAAAGCCAGAAATAAAGCTAGGTTAGCTGAAGGAACTAGTGATATTGCATCTGAAGTGGAAATAGAGATAAAAAGAAGAAGAAAACTGAAAAGAGTATTTTCATGCAGTACCGGAGATGAATCATTGGAAATTTGTGAAATTTGTATATCGCTACTTCAAAGTTGGGAACCAACTCCCCAGAAGTCGAAACTTGTGCGGGGTTAGGAAGAGCGGGACCTACAGCTTATAGTGGAATCCGAACCACTTCTAGGGCATCGAGGTGCTGCCAGGATTACAACCATGAATCACACATTTTAAAGAAAAATGCTCAGCCGACAGCCGGATTCGAACCGACAGTACCTCTGCATCGTGAATGGCTATCTAGCGAATTTCAGCGCATAGACAAACTCGGCCACAGAGCCCACTAATGGATGAAATGACTATTCCAAAGCCACCAAACATAATAAATATACTCAAATCGAGTAAGTTTGTGGATGAGTAATTTTCTCATATAATATTAGAATTTGTGTTCGAATGTTATCTGAAATGAAATATTTCTAGGAATGACACATTCAACTTTCAATAATAGATATATACATAACCAGTTAAGACATACTTTGTTTCGTGTAACGATGGGGTTTTGCTAGACAATAGTGAAGTGAGATTCAGCAAAATCACAGAATTACACAAAATTGCCTCACATTATTTTTTCGGATTTTGGCTAAAAAATTGTTCCTCAAACTGGTCAGATTTACATGGATTGATAGGTACTTTCATTGAGTTTTATTGGGAATCTTGCCTGACAGATTGATGGATGAAATATTGAACAGTTCATCACCAGTTATGAGTCATTTTACTTTAATTCATTGTATTGATTGATATATTTGAGGAATCCAAGGTATTATAAAAAAAATTACAAAATTCATCAATATTGCCTAACTTTTTTTTCACTTTTATGGACTGCTGTTTGAGTATTGTCAACAGTTATTGTAATCAACCAAATTGTAATAATCTGGGTGCTTAAATATAATGCTGAAATATATTGCAATCACATTTTGCCAATTCCTAATAATATATACATAAATATATTGAATACAATGAAGAAAACCCTTCAACTCTTATTTCAGAAAATCGCTCATTAGAATTATTTGTAATTTAAATCCTAAAAGAATCAATTTCTTGTCTCACTGTGGAAATTTTTATTTTCAGAAGAAAACAAGCAGGTGGAAATAGAACATCACAATTCAAGTGAGTAGCAGGTATATTGGTACTTCCTGATGAAATGTTGATCAATCACAGTTTTCAGTGCATTTTTTTTGGTTCTACTGTGTTCATGTAAACTTCTACAATCTGAAAGTGATATAGAAATTGTGGATGATTGCAGACTAATTTACCCATGTCAAGGAAAGTTTCCTTATAATAATGTTGAATTATTACTACCTTCTATTTTTACCTACCAACGCCATTTCTTCATTAGTGTATTGAACTTTTTGACATTATTACATAATTATTTAAAAAAATCAGAAATTTTGAGTATAAATGCATATCACTTTCAAATGTTGCTCCCAATACTTCTGTCCTGAAGAATGTCTTCCAACCACGTCAATCACCTGTTCATCAGGCAGCATGTGTGTCTTGCAATGATAAGGGTAGGTATATAACCTTCATTTTCCATAATATATTCAAAAATTACTGCTCTGATAGAGCAAAATCATTTGCTGAGGTGTCTGACTCAAGACATTCTTACAGAAGTCAAAGCAGTAAGAGAAGAAGTGAGAGGATTGAACAGGATGCCACCAGCACATTCAAACACCTCAGTTTTCAACAAATATCCACTGCTACAGTTTCCTCTCAATAGTGAAGTAGATCTTATGAATTATGACGAAATCCTTAAAACTGAAGAACTTCAATGAATGGGTAAGTATGAGAATATAATTCTCTCCAGAGAAGCAAATGAATTATTTCAACCCATTTCTATACAAATATACCTATACAGTAATAATTTGAATAGTCATACATGGTGTTATTGAAGTTAATAGCCAAACTTCAAGAGGTCTCTTTCCAGGTGATTCTAAGA